GTCTTAACACAATAATTAAGTAAATGAGGTGAAAGCTCTGTTGATTTGTTTGATGTAAGCACTCCAAACTGTATAAAAAATCAACACATTGTACCCCACAGATGCATAAATGTATTCATGATCTATGTGCATATGACTTAATAAAAGGAAAAAAAGAAAATAATATACAATAATTCTAAATATAGCATTCAAGGAATGTTTAAAAATATGTACCAGATACCATTTTATGTTACAAGAGGGATTTATATTCAAATGGTCTTTTAATTTTACAATAGCTTTAGATATAGAGAAAAGTTGCAAAGATAGCACAAAGAATCCCTGTATACCTCCCCACCCAGTCTCCCCTGTTGTTTTTTCCCCAGCTTTATTGATGAATAAAAATTGTATATGCAGAGGGTACCAAAAAATATACACACATTTTAAGAAAGAAAAAAACTGCATTAAATTAATGCTCAAGCCATGTTTGACTTCTGCAGTTAAAAAAAGTATTCACCATGACTTGCGTTCATCTTTTGTTATCGTCATATGTTAAGTATTACAATTTTTTTTTTTGGCTGGGCCAGGTCTGAACCCGCCACCTCCAGTATATGGGGCCAGCGCCCTACTCCTTGAGCCACAGGCGCCGCCCGAGTATTACAATTTTAATACAATTTTTTTCTTTCTTAAAATGTGTATACATGTTCTGGCACCTTCTGCATTTAAGGTATACTGCAGAATGTTTCAATATCCAGATGAATTGTGAAATGATTACCACAATTAGGCTAATTAACATATCTGTCACCTTACAAGTTACTTTTTTTTGTCTGTGTGTTGACAACACTTAAGCTCTACTCTGGCAGCAAATTTCAAGTACGCCACAATTATTAACTATAATTACCATGGTGTCAGTAGGTCTCCAGAAGTTATTTATCTGTTAACTGAAAGTTAGTAGCCTATGCCCAACACCTCCCATCACCCCCCAACCATCCTTCTACTATTTCTGAGTACAGCTTTTTTTTAGGTTCTACTTATAAGAAAGATGATGCACTATTTGTCTTTCGGTGACTGGCTTATTTATTTTATTTAGCATAATGTCCTCCAGGTTCATACATGTTGTCTCAAATGGCAGGACTTCCTTCTTCTTTAGGGTGGAACAACATGTCATTGTGTGTGTGTATGTGTGCACCTTCCCTGTTGTCTGTTTCCACTCACCTGTTTACATTTACACTGTTTCCAGATCTTGGCTATTGTGAATAATGCTGCAAGGAACGTGGCCCTGCAGAAAACTCTTCGAGATTCTAATTTCATTTCCTTTGGGATATGTACCCAGAAGTGGTATTGCTGAGTCTTATGGTAATACTAATTTTGCTTTTTTGATGAACCCCTATTTTCCATAATGGCCTGTACCAATTTACATTCCTACCAACAGTACATAAAGGTTGCTTTTGCTCCACGTCATCACCACCACTTTTTATCTTTTGACTTTTTGGATAATCGCCATTTTAATAGGGGCGAAGTGATATCTCTTTCTGGTTTCGATGGGCATTTCCCTGATAATTAGTGATCTGAGTACATTTGCATATACCTGTTAGCCATCTGTATGTCTTCTTTGGAAAAATATCAGGTCCTTTGCCCATTTTTTAATTGTGTTGTTTCTGGTTTTGAAATTGAATTGCCTGAGTTCCTTATAAATCTTGGATTTTAATCCCTTACCAAACATATGGTTTGCAAATATTTTCTTCCATAGATGGCTTTTTCATTTTATTGTTTCTCCTGCTCTACAGAAACTTTTTAGTTGGATGTAATCCCACTTGTTTGTTTTTTCTTTTGTTGCCTATGCTTTTGGTGTCACGTGTAGCCTAAATGCCACATGTGGCCCTCCAGGTCCCCAAGTGTGGCCCCTCACCCACATCCAAACTTCACAGAACAAATCCCTTTAGTAACAAATACTTTTAGTAAAGGGATTTGTTCTATAACATTTTGATTCTGTCAAAAGGCAACACTCAAGGATCCAGAAGGCCACATATGGCCCCAACGCCACAGGTTCCCCACCCCTGCGTGGTTTCAGATCTTACATTTAAATATTTAAAAAAAAAATTTAGGGGCTGGGTATGGTGGCTCACACCTGTAATCCTAGCACTCTGGGAGGTTAAGGTGG